AGTCGAAGTCCAGCCATGATAATCAATGGAAGGTTTATCGTAGTTTTTCAAAACGGCGGAAGAGCGGCGGACATCCCGGCATCATCGTTAGGTTTTTGGAGTTCTTCTTTCTCATGGAGCGGATCGCCTCACACTTTTGAAAACAAAAAGCTCAAGTTGTGGATGAGGAGAAACAAAAACCGAGCACTCAGAGGAGGTATTTATACGTCCTCTGACCGCAAGCTAGTCGTCCACTGCGGTTAGTGCCAATGTACTCCTGTTCTCAAAGTCCGGTCAGCTCGCGCCTATGTATGCGTTTGACGTCGACGTCATCGCTCTTCCTGTAGCGTCTTTCCCCGTGTGTTCGACTGGACTCCAGTCTTCCACCTCGATGTTCCGATGAGCGATATACCAGCTTTCCAGCTGACAGCGGTCCGATACCACGACTGCTGACCAGCACTCACACGACATCGAACGCAGATCCCAACTCTTGGATTACCGGCGATCAGACACGCATAATGGAAGGCATACGTGAAGTTATGTGCAGCTGGCGGCAAACCCGCCCAGCAAAGAACGAATAGAGATTGGGTATCAAAACTAAACAAAAAAGGCTGTACCAAACTCATGAGGCCAGCTCTGCAACTGCGCCCCAGATGGAGGACCAAACACCCCTCCTCTCAATCTGCTGCTGCGCTTGTTCGGTCTGCTCCGCAAGAACGCGACGGGCCTCTTCCAGCTCAGCCTCCCAAGTAAGCACAGCATCCTTTTCATCCCTAATCGCCAAATCCGTCGGCTGCAGCGCAGCCGCCTCCTCAATTAACGTAACCGCCCTGACACTGCTCTTCTCATCACGCATCAACCTCAAACACCTCGCATGCCTGTACAGCATCTTAGCGCTCTGCGCATTACTCGGCGTCCACGTCGCACCCGCATGCTGCGCAAACCGCGCAGCAGCCGTCTCGCACTTGCGCAAATGGCCAATCGCAACACGGCCATTGCGCTGCACAAGGGGCCCTTGAGACGCGTCATTTGCCATATCGACTTGCAAGAATTGTGCGTGGAAGAGGTTGAGCGTGAAATATAGATCAGCGGTTTTATTAACGAAATCTTCGCCGCCGGCGGCTTGCAGCCCCGCCCACGAGGAGGAGTGGCGCATGCGCTCAAGAGTGCGCATGGCGTAGGCCCAGGATTCAGAGGCAGCGTAGAAATTGGATTGTTGCCATTGGCGCTTCCCGACGTCGACGCCGGTGCCGATTTCTTCGATTGTGGACTCGGGGTCTGTCCAGCGGGGTTGCGCGACTTGCGTGCGCACGCTGTCTGCGAGGGCGGGATCGACGAATCCGGAGATGCGCATGTTGGGGATGCCGCGCAGACATGTGGCAATGGGCTCTAGCAGGCGCTCCTGGATCTTCGGGGTGAAGAAACGGGTTTGCGCGTAGTTGAGCCGGATGGTGGCGTTGATGGAGGCGTGTTCTGTGGTGGTTGAGTTGGCATCCGCCATTACGGTTTCGATGTCCAACTGCTCGCATAATTTCGGCAGATCTGATCGGAGCATCATGATCTCGAACTCGGAGAACTGGAATGGCGATGGCGTGAATGCGGGCTTGGATAGCGTGATGTGCATGACGTGGCCGTCGAATACGCTTACTTTGCGGGCATCGGTTGTTATGACGGGGATGCCTTCGCCGAGGAACAGGTTGCGGGAGTCCAGACCTCGGCATGTGATGCGGACGAATTGGTTGCGCTTGATCATGTAGTCTGACGCTTCGGCGTAGATCTGCTTGTTGGCGCGGAGGAGCGATGGTGATGGGTTGCTTGGGCTGCGGCGGCTCAGCTTGCTGCTCATGCTGGGGTCTTGCTCGAGTACATCTTCCCAGGAGCATAGCAGTAGGTCGTAGATGTTGTTTCTGATTTCTCCGGGCAGGTCCAGGAAGCGAAATGGTTGGGTTGCTTGGGTGCAAGACATCTTGGTGAATGTTGAGTTTGGCGATGGAATTGCTTGGGAAGTGGTCGGTATGTCGCAGTGGAGTGTCGCTCAGGAAGTAGAGTCGCTGGGCAAAGAAGTCGCTCAGGAAGTGTCGCTATGGAATGAAGCTTGTCAATGATCAAGAGAAGAAAAGTGTCGCTGTGGAAGTTTGTCGCTCAGGAAAGAGTAATGTCGCTAGGCCAGTCGGGTTTACATATATACTTTACGCATATGATGATGGGGAAAAACGTTGAGTAAAAGAAGCGGTAATAGCTTTGATTCGTGTTGTCAAGAAATCGCAATCCACTGGGAAATTTTCGTAGTCTGAGCTCAAAACGTGCATGGGCTAAGAATGTCGAAAATTGACTCGCGGCTTTCTTTGGGGAATCTCGGGGGAGCACGAGCGTTCTTATGCTGGCGGTAGAATGTTCGCCGGGTGGGAAGTGGACCCGCGAAACCGCTGGTGCGAAGTGTGTGAGGTGAGTCGGTTCTGGCGGATCCGTCAGACTCTGTAGTGCGGAGAAGCGTGAATGGAAGGGCCTGAAGCTGCACTGTGATGTCGGACGAGACTGCTCTAGGCGATATTAGGTGCTAGCCTGCGATCTTTCCCGGAAGCCCTTTTTCGCTCTCCCCGACGGAAAACGATCCGCTGGCGCCATGCAAATAGGGGTCTACGGCAATCGTTCGCGATGACTTCGGAGGAAAGGGACTTTCCTCGGGCTTATTGCGCGTTCCTGAATCCCCAGATTTGTGTACTTGAATTGAGGTGCGCCCCCAGAAGCCACATTCGAAGTTCCCCGGCCCGTCTCCGCACTAAACAGCTCACACCCCCAAGAACACCGCTATTCCTGCGTCCGCTTTTGGTACATGAAGGAGTGTGGTATCAGCCACTAAAGAGGCGGTATTGGCGAGAGATGGGGCAAGCATGCTGTGCGACCATCATAGCGCCTACAGCTGACCGGAACATGCTTTCCTCAAGCAGAAGGTCCCACTCGCCAGAGGTCATACTCCTATCAGTGGCGGTGGGTTAAGATTCGACTATTGAAGGAGTCGCATAATTCACGCAAGAGTACAAAAGCGCTCGCTTCCCCTCATTGTGCTGCTCGCTCGATGCCGATTTACCCTAGCGTACGTGGAGTAGAGAACAGCATGTCCTCTACAGGAGTGGAGGTTGTTGATAAGTGATTTGGATGAAGGGATCCGAACGACATCGCTTGTTGCTTCCTGAATCTGCTGATGTCACTGTGAAATCGATAGCAGATATGTTGTGCTCTACGGGTTCTAGCAACTGGTTTCAGTGAGCCGGTGTCATGCCTGCAATGACGGTAATTACTTCCGCGCTCCCTTTCCCTTTCCCTTTCCCTTCTTCCTCCTACCCCTACTCGCTTCTTCCATCTCTTCTAGCCACAGCGCCCCACTAGCCTCGATATCCTCCCGATTCTGCAGCTCCTTCACGACCTTCTGATAAGCTTCATTCGCAGCGTAATCCAAGTCCTCACCGAACCCATCAGCACCGAATCCTCGACACTCAAACCAGATGCATGCCAGCGGGACTACGTTGGCCCCCTGCATCCAGCCCCTCATGAGGTGCAACCACATGTTCACAGCCTGCTGATGACTGCCGCCGTTGTACAACAATGTCGCGATGTTACGCACGTCACATTCTGGTATTGGGTACTCATAGAAACCGGGGCCGATCTCCCATGCCGCTTCGAAGGTGCTGAGCGTAGGGAAGTGCTGCGTGAGGGTATGCGCATCCCGCAGAATCTCCAGGAAAGTCTCTCCAGGTTGCTGACGCTTGCGGAAGTGCCCTGTACCGTCCCCGCCATCGAACAGACTGTTATGGCTCGGCGCTATGCCGTACCTGCCGTACGGTCGGGGTACCGTATCATGGTATAAGTGCCTTATCTTCGTTGCCGTAGCAGCAGCACGGTCAGGGAATAGACGAAGTAAGCCGCTGAGTGGCTTATGGAGTCCTTCTCGTGGGCTGTACTTGGCAGATAGCGCGATAGTGTTGGACCGCCCGAACGCCTGCATGGCCTCGTGGTAGACCTGCCTGGAAACAAGGAAAAGGTTGATGGCGTCTTCGCACGGCCCGATATCCTTCAAATCTGGATTGCGGTGCGCATTGTAGTATATGCCTTCAGGGCGGTAGACGACGTAATGGAAGATCCTGTCGCGAAGTTCGCGTGGAAAATCGAACAGCTTGAATGCGCCGGTCCACTTGGGTAGTCGTACCCTGTCCAGAGACCATGGGGGGATACCTCTGCCAGAACAACCGCGCCCTACGATGTAGGAGGGTGGCTCTGCAGGAGTAGGCGCTGCTGGTGTTGGGCGGGCGAGGAGGATTGAACCAAATGCTGCTTGAAGTTCAGGAACAGAAGATTCGGCTGGCTCTGTGGTAGCCATCGCGTTTTCAATCATGGCTCGTAGATCCGTGCTTGTGGTTACTGGAAAAGTAACGACAGTTTATCTCGTGAGTGTCAATGCTGTGCCGATTGATGGTGCTTGAAGTCGAGGTCCTCAGGAAACAGTATATAGTGTACCTACTACATGCACTGCCACAGTGAGTCAAGGCGTGGCTTTAATTCGGGACTTCTCTACGACACATCACTTTTAGCTTCTTCGACTCACCGCTACGGAATGCTATTGGTCTGGTAGCGTGGTAAGGCATACAGCGACAGTGTATAGTGTCCCGGAGGACCTGCGATGTACTACGATTGGAGTGAAGCTGAAGCGAAGCGATACGGCAAGTGGCTGTGGGCGATGAAATGGTCCGGGCACATAGACGCAGCTGTCGGTCTGTCTAAACGAGTGAACGAGCACAAATGAGAATGCACATCGTGTTAGCGCATGTGAATGCAATTGTGGTAGACTTGGGATTAAGCATCGCGGGAGGAGAGAGGTCTGCGAGCGGCTGTCAGCCGTAGCTCCGACGCCCAGCCGAAGAAGCACTGACCGTCAAGATTCGCAAAACCTCCGCAGCATTCCTGCACCACCACCTCTCCACCAGTCCACTCCAGTCGACATCTCCTCAACGCCTCTCACAGACATCATGTTCGCTGCCAGGCAAGCTTTCTTCCAGGCCCAGCGCCGCTGCTTCTCGGCCTCGGCCCGCCAGGTAGGCCTATTCCCGGAACCCGCGATGTTTTGTGGTGGGGCGCTTCAATGCTTCAATGCAACGCCATTGGGACAATGCAAGCACAAGATGCTAACTGCATGCACTGTAGAACTCCAAGGTCACCGTCCTCGGCGCCGCTGGTGGTATTGGTCAGCCATTGTCTCTGCTGCTCAAGCTCAACCCCAGGGTTAGCAAGCTTTCCCTCTACGACATCCGTCTAGCTCCCGGTAAGCTCACTCCATTGCATACACGATATTCGATTCTGACTTCATAAAGGTGTCGCTGCCGACATTGGCCACATCAACACCAAGAGCGAGGTACGCCAACCCTCCGAAGCCATACGCGAACCGTCTACTGATACTCGACAAGGTTACCGGTCATGAGGCCACTCCCTCAGGTCTCGCCGACGCCCTCAAGGGTGCTGAGATCGTCGTCATCCCCGCTGGTGTTCCCCGCAAGCCCGGCATGACCCGTGATGGTGAGCAGACATGTCATTGATACTGCCGACACGTCTAACACCGGCAGACTTGTTCAACACCAACGCCTCCATTGTCCGCGACTTGGCCAAGGCCTGCGCCGACCACGCCCCCGAGGCCAACATCTTGATCATCTCCAACCCCGTACGTTAACTCAATCACAATTAAGTAAGGCAGAATCTGACATTTCAGGTCAACTCCACCGTCCCCATCACCGCCGAGGTCTTCAAGTCCAAGGGCGTCTACAACCCCAAGCGCCTCTTCGGTGTTACCACCCTCGACGTTGTCCGTGCCTCGCGCTTCATCTCCCAGCTCAAGAACACCGACCCCGCCACCGAGAACATCACCGTCATCGGTGGCCACTCTGGCGCTACCATCGTTCCCCTCCTCTCCCAGTCTGGCTACAACCTCGAGGGCGAGCAGCTCGCCGAGTACATCAAGCGCGTCCAGTTCGGTGGTGACGAGGTTGTCCAGGCCAAGGATGGAGCTGGCTCTGCCACTCTCTCCATGGCCATGGCCGGTGCCCGTTTCGCCGAGTCGCTCCTCAAGGCCGCTCAGGGCCAGAAGAACGTCATCGAGCCCACATTCGTCGACTCTCCTCTCTTCAAGGACCAGGGCTGCGAGTACTTCTCCACCAACGTCGAGCTCGGCCCCAACGGTGTTGAGAAGATCCACCCCGTTGGCAAGATCACCGACCACGAGCAGAAGCTCCTCGACGCCTGCGTCGCTGACCTCGCCAAGAACATCAAGAAGGGTGTTGAGTGGGTCAAGCAGAACCCATAAATTCTACAATAGATTTATGAGTGTGTACAACAATAATGACGTGAGCTACGGATTCTGGACTGGACTGGGTTTAGTTCTGGTGTTTGAACTTTGATCTGTACCTTAGCATGCCAAAATCAACTCTTACGCTTCTCTACATGGTTGTTCGTCACTACCTTGCATATGTATTAACGTAATTCCAAGTCTCACCTCTGGTGATTCGTCAACTTCTACATCGCGAAGCAAGGTTGGGAGAAGAGAGCGCCCGGCACTTCATCATTGACGCGCTTCGATGGGACTGCTGAATATATTCTATATCGTCTCATCTCCAGCCAGACGTTACCCAATCAAGCAACATTGAAAACCATTGATTGTGGTAGGACATCCTTCACCCTCTACCCCCCACGAGGCACCACTTCGTGTCCTGTGGGCGGAATGAAGGAATCAATAACCGCTAGCTACATTTATGGACCAGATTGCTACCAGATAAAGCTTGGCTTGAGGTATTGACCGGGGTCATTCTTGGATAGAATTTACTTTGTGAGATGATGCGGCGGCTGTCTATGCTCGCCATTCTGTATCTTTTCCCTGAGTCCAAAGATTCGTGCAAACATTCCAAATCTCGTCGACTTCTGTACGGAGTTTATTCTTGTGACCATGTCATGTCCATATGTACCATGAATGGCTGTTTCTCGGATACTAGGACATAACGCTTCTTAGAGGACAGAGGAGATTTGCTTGTGGGGAAAGTAAGCGATCGTGTTTGAGATGAGAAGCCGGTGTAGTTCCATAGTGGGTTGCGCGACTCGAACGCGAACCCATCTTGATTGTACAGCGATGCTGAGAAGTGTGGCTGGTGAGAATCTCGGTATCGCGTTGTGGGGGTGTGGGGCGTCCCGGTAGGGTGAAGAGGAATGTGCCATCCGGTACGCGTCTCAGTCGCGGTCCTGTCTACACGACACCACCAACCACCAACGCGACATCACCCTGCGCTCAGTCGCGCAACTACTTCCTCAACATGGTCAATCCAACTGTTCGGCTCGATCTAGCATGTTTGGTGCTCTCAGCAGCATGCTTCGGTCATGTCTCCAAGTTCCGAGCAGCGGCGCTACGTCATCGATTCTCGCGTGTTCGGAGACTTCTGATCCTCCACGGACACGATCACGTCTCGTTGCATCATCACACCGTCTTGTTTGTTCCCGTCAACTAAGCTCGACGTGCTTGCATGGTCGTCGGTGGGAATCCTCATAGTGAACGTCTGCCAGTCGGAGTGCCGGCACGTCTTCTTCTTCTTCTCCCTCGCTCCTTCCGATGACACGGTCACCGTGCTATATCCGGTGTCAGGAGGCACCAACTTCGGTTCTGTACTGCCTGTCTCCTGCCGGCTTAGAGACCTTCGAGCGTCGGAAAGCTCTGTCTCTTGTATTTCTGGGTAAACGATACCGCTGCCGCCGACGCCAAGGAGGCGCTTGATACGTGGAACGCTTGCTAATATCAAGGACAAGCTGGATACAGATCTTAAACTGGTCAGCTTCCGGAATACATCCACCTGGTCGAACGTACTGGGTGAAAACGACAAGCTCAACTGCATCGCCTGCACGCCATTAGCCTTCCGCTGCTCGGTGTCCGTCAAGGTCGCTCCTTACGTGTGGGGTTGGTACTGGAAACCATCTTTAACGTTGCCCATATCTGACCTCCAGCCACAAAGGGTACACTACAAAGTCAGGATCCTGATGTACGGACAATGTGGCGCGGCACATACACTGCTCGAACACCGAAGAGCATTGCGGCTGCAATGCTTTTCTCCTTGTCCAGAGACATCTCCCAGAAAGCTGGTATCAGCCAAAGAGCCAGGAGAATGTCCGTAGTAATATTGGTTGCGATGGCCGTGATTATGAGGCCACCGTTTCCACATTTGAGTCCGTGGACCGCCCACCGCGGGATACCGCATTGGAAAGCCACTTCGAAGGTTGAGAAGATAGCGAAGACAGCAATACTTCCGAACAAGACTATCTTCGCCCTTCGAGATTGAGGGAATATGCGCTCAATAAGTAAAGCCGAGGAAAGTTTTGCCAGCGCCATTGCGAGGATACTAACAATTCCGGCAGCGTAGATTGCCTGTAGCTATCGATTAGCTTTAGCCACCGAGTGGAAACGAGCCTGTTGACCTTAGAGAACAGGACCAGATCGTTATCGCTCAGGTCATATACGTCCTTCCCCAGTCCGCCACTGATAGTGTATTGCCAGCCGACGGTCGCACCCAGATATACGACCTATGAAAATATTAGCATCGCTTGCATCTTTGTAAGCAGGTCACATACAGTCGCTGCTACGATCGCTACATCGTCAAGACCGAGTTGGATTTTATGGCTGTAACCCTGCGCAAATCGTCCGACCAGCACGCCGACCGTTATGATCGCCCACGAGTAAGTGGAGACGAGGGCAAAGCCGCTCCTTGTTGGCACACCGTTGCGACGACTTTCATCCGAACCTGCGGGTATCATTGTACAAAACTGAAATAAGCAAAAGTACACAGAAACAAAGGAAACTCGGGTGAGGTCGACGATAAGGAAGCGTGCGGCTTATGCTGGACATTGAAGCATCAATCCGCACGGCTCGGCCTTACGCTCATCGCACCGACTCTCGCCTATGCCCTCAGATACGTCTCGTCTTGGGTACGCATCTGGGGCCAACAACCCAACTGTGGTCCAAGCTTGGGACTCCAAAGCATATCAGGATCCCATTCGTGTGTTTTCACGTTCTTGATTGCCGCATGCTTACTGTGCACACACCTGGTTGCTAGTCCGTTTCCCGTAATATTCATGTTCATCCGCTATACCTCTTTAAGCTGCATCTCGTTGCATCGTCTGCTGTATTGGAGTCAGCTCGTACCATGTCCCAAAATGCGACGTGTCGTCTCGTTGGACGATGGTAGCCTGATCGGTGAACAACGAAGGCCCGTGCCGAAACAAACGTGGGTTCCGCACTCTCATGGCCTCGACGGACATCAAGGAAACGAAATGGTTCGTTCAATCCTGCTGCGATCGCTTATTCAAAAAAAGCCGAGCCGGTAGTTTCGAGCTCAAACCCCGCCTCACGTTACGCGTAACGACGACAAACTGCCGTTAGTTGCGCCGGGTACCATGCGGACGGTGCCGGACAGCGCGAGCTTATTTGCTGGGGCGAAAATCAGAATATCCCCCATGCGATGAACGACAGGCTTGTACCCTCATGAGGCGATTGATGTGTCGGATCCAACCACTTGGATGCGGTGGAACACTCCGGTGGCATGAGCCTTGGCTGCTGTGAAGACGGCCTTGCATACGGAAATGGTCTTTGCAGCGCTTGAGAGATGCACTGTATATGGCATCGGGCGCTATCCATTACTCATTTAGCCAGGCAACCCGGTAGGAGGGCTACGGACCCCAGAGTTCTTCACGCAGCGCAGTCTGATGCTCCCTGGTCGTATCGTACTTCTCCACGGGACTGGTAGGGTCGCTGCGTCTCACGAACTCCCTTCACTTTGCCGTCCCGCACGTCACCCGTCGCCCACTGCTTTGGGACCTATTGCGCCATTATGGAACTCAATACATATATGGCAGATGCTGAACTCGATGTTCTAGAGCAAGAATCCGGTCAAGGCGAGAAGACGGCGGTAAATACCCCGGCTGGGCCTTCGGGAGGGGGACGATCAACATATCAGCTCGAGGTGAGCATCACTTGAGCGGCTCCAGCAAAGTAGCGTACTGACTAGAGCAGCGTTATATCAACCTCTCGGCTGTGATTAACTTCGCTGTGATCATTCTTGCTTCTTGGGAGTCGTTCGCGGTGACGTTTCAGTTCGCCCTGACTAACGGCGGTCCCGCATCTATCTTCTATGGCTCTATTCTGGCTGGCATCGGCGCCTGTGCCGTTGGCTTCTCACTGGCTGAGTTGGCTTCTATGTACGTACCAGGCATCCATCCTGGAACCTTTTTAACACCTCGACAGAGACCCAACAGTCGGTGCTCAGTACCGCTGGTCAGCCAATCTCGCTCCTGCTGCACCTCGCTTCTGGGGCCTACTGCAAGGTAGGCCGACGTACTCACTGAGAGCAACCACAACTCACATCACCAATAGGATGGATCACGGTCGGTGCCTGGTGCTTTGCTTGCAGTGGACCGCCTTCCATACTCGCCAACATCATCACGTCATTGGCAATCTTCAATAACGAGAACTACGTTCCTGAACGATGGCACACAAGCCTCATCATGGTCGCGCTCATGATAGTACCCTTTATCTCCAATCTTTGGTTTCGCAAGCTTCTCGATGCTTTCGAAATTACTGGTGGTATACTTCACGTATGCCTCTTCATTGTGGTAGTCGCCGTGTTCGTCGCGTTTGGACCGCGCAGCGACCCTGACTTTGTCTTCAAGACACTGACATGGGAAGAATCGGGTTGGAACAACAAGGGTGTTTCTTGGGGTCTTGGGCTTTTGAGCATGACGTTCTCTGTTACTGGAGCAGACAGTGTTCTACACATGTGTAAGTCTGCTACTCTTAGCACTGCGTTACTCTACTGACATAATACGTAGGCGACGAGGTGAAGAAGGTACGCACACGCGTACCACGCAGTATCATGATCACATGTGTCGCGAACTCAGCGATGCTCATCGTTTTCGCTACCATCCTCCTCTTCTACATGGGTCCTCTCGACGATATCATCGCCACCCCGCTTCCAATCCTATGGGTCATTTACAACATCACCGGTTCCTCAGTAGCAGCCAATGTTCTCACCGCACTTGTAGCCCTCATTATCTTCTTTGCCCTCTTCAACATCTTTGCTTCGGTTTCGAGACTCATTTGGGTATTCGCACGCGACAACGGTCTGCCTTTCTCCGACTCCTTCTCTTACGTAGGCCGCCTTTACACTTCTTGCATGCATTGGCTGACGGTCTCAGGTGCACCCCACACTCAAACTCCCCGTCAACGCGCTTCTCCTCGTTGGAACAATCGTGACGTGCCTATCTCTCATCTACATC